TCTTGACGAGTAAGTTGCATTTGTAGAGTAGGGGTGAAGGGGTGGATGATTCAAAGGGAACATGAGCCAAAGTGCCCTTGGACGTGAGAAGAGCAGGCTGGCTCTGAGGTGTGAAGGACAGACTTGACCCTGAAGGCACTAGAAAGTCACTGTAGGTTCATAAACCAGGTGTGACGGAAGTAGTTCAATCTCCTTTAGGAAGTGCAATGTGCCTGCAGATGCCAATTGGAGTGGGGGTGAGAGAGCAGAGTCCAAGGGCCAAGGATAAAGGGCTAGTGAGTCCATGAGCACCATAATGGGTCTCCTGGCCTAGGGCAGAGGCCCTGAGGATGAACAGCATGGGCTCAGTATGAAAGATAACAGAGTTTGTTAGAAGATTGAGATTCCTCAGAGACAATATCAAGGTGCTAAATATCATGACTAGGAAAGGGAAGGTGCCACTTATAGGATTAAGGAAGACAAGAGGAGAAGCTAGTTTAGGGACTTGGAAAGACAGAGCTGAGTTTGAGGCTGACCAAAGTCCAAGTAACAGCAAACAGTCCAGTTAAAAATGTCTGGACTCACAAGACCAAAGCTCAACAGAAAAAAGATATTTCCACATCAATCTCATTAAATTTATCCTCTGAACTTTCTTCCTTTGAGTCTTATAGAAGGAGGTTTCTCCTCTGCTCACCAAAGTCAAGATTTTCGCTAGGGAACCTCCTCTTGTCTCACCTCTTCAGGTATCTAACTCAAAAATCAACCAAGCATCTTCAGTTCTTCCTGCCCACAATCTCTCTCCCTTCCACAAACAAACCTGTTCTGACTCTCCGACCAAAAAATGAAAACCCCTTTTCTTGGTACTAACATGCCATCTGACTAGCACCCAAACTCTTTTTCCTTTCACTGGTAAATTCTGCAAGTAATTGATTCCTACCCACCACCCCAAATCCCTGCTCTGAATGCCTCTTCTAATACTGTGCTCCCAAGAGCTCCTAGTGGCTTTCTTTTTATCACATCCAGAGACACTTGACCGGCACTCCTCTTATTCAACCTGTCTGCAGCCTGTCATCACATCAGAACCCATGCTGACTCCCTGGGGTCTCCAGGATCAAGTCTCCTTTGCTGCCACTTCCTAAACAAGGGTTTCTCCCCCAAATTCTAACTTTAGCCCTCTCCTCTTCCCTCCACCCCCTCCCTCTGAGGGCTGATGCATTCACAAAGCTTCAGCTGCAGCGAGCCTTGATTCAGGAGGCTTCCAAGACCACAATGGCAGCCCTAACCTCCCACCTGTGCTCCTGTCTGAAGTCCCGTATCTCCCACAAACCAGCTCCACCTGGATGCTCCTCAATCGCCTCTAATTTTCCACATCCAAAGCTAACAGCATTATCTGCCCTGCAAATCCAGCTCCTGTCCTCAATCAGAGTGCTTCAGTCAGGATACTGTTAGTCCTCTATGCTTTAAACCCAGCTACTCCCATTATTCTCGAGGGCTTAATTTTCTTTCCCCCCTACAACTAGTTTGTCAACAAATACCCACATTTCTGCCTTTGACAATGTCTCTCAGAGGGGTCCCTGAGTCCCCGTCCTTTCTGCCACCAACCCAGACCAAGCCCCTCTCCCTCAGTTCCAGATCACTTTTGCATTTGGATCCTTTCTCTCTCTTTCCACTTCATCTATCATATGACCCCCAGATTAACCTTTCCAAATACCACTTTCTTCAGGACATGCCCTTGCTCAGGAACTAAAGTGACTCCCTATCAGTCCTGAATCAAATCCAATCTCCTCTCTTGGGCTCCCAAGATTCTGCCTATCTGGCCTTGCCCTACTTACCCAACCCTGTTTCCCATTCCTCCTTACCCTACACCTTCTACTCAGTCTTCCCAGGATCCTCAGTGTCAATGCCTCAACCTCCCTGAGCTTTTGCCCATGATTCTCTTCCCACCCTCCATCTCCCCTTCAAGGGCTACCCTCAGTTCCACTCCTCTGTAGTTCTGCCAACTTTTTATCTTATAGCACCATAATGTTCAGCAAGTAATTAATCTCTAATTGAGCAGTAATTGTCAATCTTCTTTTAAAAGCTCTTGGAGGGTAGAAACCAATTTGAATATTTCTTTGTATCCCATAGCACCCTGGACAGCAGAAGGGTCCTAGTAGAAGCTGAAAAGACCTTGCTGGTTTTCTATTCCAACTGATTTCTATTCCCAGTTCTGAGTTCCCATATTTCCCCTCCTCTGCCTCATAACCATGATCAATAAAATTATTGTGACACACTTTCCCAGGCGTGGATCAGAGAATTCCCAGAAAGACAACACAGAATACACCAATCTATAAGAATAATGGTGGGGACAGGGGGTGTGCATGGGTGTTTCTTTCTGTCCGTGTACATGTATGGATGTAGGATTTGGGGAATGTCACAAGAACTGAAATACCAAAATAATCAGAAGAGGACAAGTAAAGAACCAAAATGACAGAATAATTGGAAACATGCCTAATTAGAGGCACAGTATGCCAGGGTTTTGACAAAGCAATTGCCAGTGTGGTCTCTGTGTATGCAAAATCTTCCATCAGAAAGTAGGGGGTAACCCTGGCACTCGGGACTTTGAAAATGTGTTTGGAGCTTTTTCAACTGTTCAACTAAATAAATTTATCATCTGTCCAGCCTACCAGGTGTAATGCTATGTTCCATAAAGATGGGGACTCAGAAGGGAGACGATTAAGAAATATGGCCTTTTCCAGGTGTAAGAAGCCCCAGCAAAAGCCCAGGCTAGAGACTGGAAGGGGGTAAGATCAAGAAGCAGAGCACAGAGGACCACTCAGGGTGGGTGGTGGTCCTAGACCCTACCACAAACAGTCTGCACCCCCTCGTACAACTTGTTACAGGTCGTCAGTCATTTCCAGCCTTATGCGCTGAAGATTTCACCCTTCTCTGATTCAAAGTGCACATCAGACCTGGGCCCCCCTCAACAAGGCTGCCTGAGGAGGAAGAATATCCCCAACAGGATTCCATAGGAGAGGGACCCAGTCTGCTATTTACTCTGTGATTTGAGCCAGGGCTAGACAATGTAAGCCCCATGTTGTGTTTTTAAAGGCCCTGGGAGAAGTAACACATTGGGCCATTATAGGCCATTAACACCATTAACACTGTGTGAATTCATTGGTCAGAAATTAGCAAGCCTCCAGAAACTGAGATCTGCTCCAAGGGCCTGGGACAGAGAATCGACGGGATCTAGTGTTTGGATGGTAGAAAAGGCGGAGGAGGAGTGGATGCCGAAGATAAAGATGGGTCCAGAAAGGGGAGGTGGGAGAGCCCACACTCCAAGAGCTCTCCCCAGAGCTCAGAAAAGGCAGAGTCCTGTGCCAGACGGGAGGCAAAGGGTGGATGGCAGGGGTGTCGGTGGAGACGTCCTAGTGCATGTTTCCAGGTATCACGTAGCCCCCAGAACCTCTCCCCTAGATAATAAACTAAGGTTATCAGGTCAGGCACCTCTTTAGAATTCCTGCTTTGGTTCCTGGGCTGTGTGAGTGAGTGAGTGAGTGAGTGAGTGTGTGTGTGTGTGTGTGAGAGAGAGAGAGAGAGTATGTGAGACAGAGAGAGAAAGGGGGGGATGGGGAAGGTGTATATTAGAATCCACATCTGGGGAAAAGGAAGGAGGGAGGCAAGGCTGAGCCCTGAGAAGCAGGATAGGATAACAGGGGCTCCCTCTGCTTTCTCCAGGTCAGCTCCTATCAGTTCCTATCCTCCAGCTCTTTCCTCTTCAGACCAACTAGAAAATGAACATATGGGCTGACCAAGTCTTGACTTCCAAAGCCACAAGTCTCCCCAACAAAGCACCCCACCCCTTCCCTCAGATGACCTCCAGGGCAAGGCAATGAGGTTAGGAAACAGATGGGTGCGCAGGGAATCTTCAAAGCCGACCTGCTCTTTGACCCCATCAGTTCACGTCCTCCAATCCAATTTACAGAAAGAGGGGAGATGCCCAGGGTCCCCATAACTTACTGGACTCTTCGGGAAAAAGATTCCAGACCACATGGTTCCAGACATGGAAGATGGGGAGCTCTACCTACCGAGTTGGTGGAAGCCACAGGTAAAGAGGAGATGGAGAAACCCTGGTCATCAGAGAAACAGGGCCACAGGTGGTGGCAGATGAGGGTGGTCGGTTCTGCTCTGGGAAAGGGGCTGTGTAGCCAAGGAACATGAGGAGCTATAGACCTGGGGGCTGGGAAGTGGCAGGGGCCGAAAATAGCCGTTAAGGCAGATCTGGGGTCGGGGGCGGTGCTCTACATACCACAGGCAAGCAAAGATTCAGTGGGTGTGTATGAGGGGGACGCTAACTCACACTTCCAGGAACGAGTGATTCTTATGAAAAGCTCATCCGTTCCCAGAACTGGAGAAGAGGAGGACAAGGAGGAGGTCCCAGGCGCCCACCGCCCTCCCTGCCGGGTCTGCCTCTCAAGTCTGAGACTCTGGCTCCCCACACGCACCAGGCACTACAGTCCTCGGTCTGCCCCGCTCCCGACTGTCAGTCTGCAGCCTGCGCGACTCCCGGTCCCCACTGTCCCTCTTTGCACATCGGGGCCGGGGGCCGCCGGCCGGAGAAGGGGTGCCGGCCCAGGGCGGCGGGAGCCGGGCTGACAGGCGCTGGGGGGAGGGGGCAGCCGAGGGAGGGGCGGGGGACGCCGGTAGCCGGAGCGGCGCACTGCAAAGTGATCCAACATCGCCCCATCCCCGCGCTCCGGGAGAAGGCGGCCCGAGGGGACCGCCTCTCGCCTCCCCAACACAGACTCCCGCAAGTGGGGTGAACGCCGAGGGGCGCCGAGCTCCCAGCCCCCACCCCTCCCCAAAATGCAACCCGCATTGCCATAACAACAAGAATCTCGGCCACTCCAGCCCCGGCGACGAAGGGGACTGCCCCCCAACACGCACACCCCAGCAACAGCCCTCCTTTCCCAAACTTGTCCAAGACGCCGCATCCAGGGCAGCAGCCTCCTCCCCAACCCCCCGCGCCCTGCCCAGCTTACCTGTCCGGAAAAAGGCGTCCACGTCCGAGTCGGCGGCTCCTCCTTCCTCCGCTGCCCCCTCCGGGGGGTTCATGACTGGGGGAGGGCGTCCGCGGGCAGCCGGGGGCCGGCGAAGCCTGGGGCCGAGGGCTGCTCGGCGCCCTGTGGGCGGAGGGCGCGGGGCGCAGCGGCCGCGGCCGCAGACCCGGAGGACACCGGGCTTCAAGGGCGGGCGGCCGGCCGGGGTGGCAGGGCTAGGGCAGAGGACGCCGAGGCTCCCTCAGGCAGAGGCGCGCGGCGGGCTGGGGGCGCCTGCTGCCGGCTCCCCCATGGTCCCCCTTCCCCGGGGGCGCTGGCCGCCTGCGGTCTGGCCGGGGCCGGGGTACGAGCTGCCTGGGCGCCCGCTCTCCCTCAGCGGCGGCAGCTGGCTCTCCTCCTCACCCGTCTGCCTGTCTCTATTGTTCAGCCCTGCTAGTCTCTCCTCTTTATTTTTCCTCCTCCCTCCCACCCTCCCTGTCTCTCTACCTCCTCCCTCCCTCGCTCGACCGCCCGCTCGCTCTCAGCTTCCCTCCCTCGCTCGCTCTCTGGCTCCCCCTCTGGCTCCCTCCGCCGCCGCCGCCGCCGCCGCCGCCTCGCAACTCCTCCCCCGGCTCCCGCTCCTCAGTCCCAGCCAACAATGACCCGGGCAGCGACGAGCTCAACTAAAGCTCCGGCCCGGGCCGGGGTCTCGCCGCGGCCCCCCGGCGGCGCGGACGCCTCCCTCCCCCGCCTTCCCGCGCCGGCCTCTCCCGGAGCCAAGCCCGGGCCCCGAGCTATTGTTCGCTGCTGTGCTAGGCCGGCTTCCTGAGCCCCGCAGGAAAAGCGCCGGCGAAGGAGGCGGCCGGGGAGGGGGCGGGGCCGCCGGGCGAGTCCCCGGCCACCGGGCGCAAGCCGGGCTCGCCGTGGGGGCTCTGGTGCCCCAGCCCTGCGCGCTCAGCCTCGCCCCTCGCGCGGTCCGGGCTCCGGGCCCGGCGGCCGCCTCCTCCACCCCACCCCGTTCCCAGGTGTGAGAGGGCCCGCCCCCCCAAGCTGCGTGTCCCCCAAGCTGGGCCGATCCGTCCCTAGAGGCTGGACTTTTCCCCTCTCCTTCCAGACAGGCTCTCTCCAGTCTCCTTCACCTCCTGAGCCTTTCGCATTTTCCTCACCAACTCTCCTTAGTTCCTTTCTTTTTTAGCTTTTCTCTTCCTTTTTCCCCTTTTCAGCGCCCCTTTAAACATCTCTGCCGTCGCTGTGACTCTTTGTCCAGTTCATTCCTATTGCGATGTGTCCCTATCTTTCCCTCTGTGACTCTCTTGTCTCTCATTTGTCTCTGTCCTGCCTCGGTACTTGGCCCGTATCTCAGCGCTCCTCTTGGACAGCTGTCAAAACTCCCTAATCCCCCGGGCCTTCTCTGTTTTGTTCTTCTCCCTCTTGTGAATGGAGAGATCCAGTTGGCCAGGAGAAAGGAGGTGTTACAGCAAGCTGAATTTCAATTAAAGTGGGGAGTGGGGCTGGGGAGGAATGGGGAAGACCTCAAAAAAGAAAGCAGATGCTGTATGGGGTAATTAATGCAGTGATTGCATTGTGCCAATTGGTTTTTTAAGCAATAATTAAACAATAATTAGCCAGTATTCTGTTTATAGTCCTAGTGACTGCGAAGCTTACAAAACAGAGGCTCTTTAAACCTGAGTACTTAATGTGGTGTGTTGGGGGCTGTTGCTGCTGCCTCATGCAGCCAGATGGAGAGGCTGTGGCCTGACCTAGTGTGTTAAAACACGCCTCACAGAAAAACCAGGTCCTAGTGTAAAACTGATGGCCTGCTACCCAACAGCCAGAATCTTCTGGATCTATCTTCGCTGACCACCTACTTGGTTCCATCTCTCTCCAGGTCAAAGCACCTGGAACCTTTCCAGATCTATTAACCGGCTGACTCTAACAGCAAACAGGATTAATTAAATATGTTTTTAGTGAACGCTTTCTGGTTCCCTGTACTTCTTCCTTTCTTTACTGAATGTCACAATTTTTTTTTTCACCCATTGAAAAAAATAAGTACAGTTGCCTGTCCCCAATCTTGGCTACATGTATCAGACCCTGTTTCTTAAAAATTAAGAGACTCTGACATCACAAGTTCATTGCCATGAGATCCAATTCATCTGGTCCTAATAGCCTGAACTGACTTAAAGTAGCCAGATGCTCCCTTTCTTACCACCTTCCCTGACAATGAAAGTACTTCTCATTTGTCTTTTCTAAATTTTGCCTTCCCCTTTACCCTGAGCCGAAACCCTGGCCTGCACTCCCACACATGCACATGATGGCAGAGCTGCTATTAACTGGCACCACTGTGCAGATAGAGAACTGGAGGCCTGGCAAGAGCATTAGCTTATCCCAAATTCAGAAGAAACATAACATGTTTAGAGAAAGGTTCATATTAAATTTTCAAAAGATGTGGACAAGAATGGGGGAAAACCTTATGTAATGACACATATATTTTTGAGAGGAAATTTTGTAATGACGCAGATATTTTTGAGAGGAAATTTCTATAAAGATTTTAGACATGTCTATTAAGCAACTTCTATTAAGATTTTAAATGTTCATAGCTATATTAATATCAGACAAAGATTTCAGAGCAAAAGCTGTTACTAGAGATAAAGAGGCACATTTCAATTCATCAACTGCACACAACAATCCTAAAATTTTTTGTATCTGGGAGAGTTTCAAACTATATGAAGCAAAACTGATAGGACAAAACAAGGAGAAATAGACAAATTCAAAAGTATAGTCAGAGATTTTAACATCTGTCTCACTCAATAATTTATAAGGAAACAGATCACCAGTAAGGATATGGGAGACTTGAACAATGCTATCAACCAACTTAACTGACATATACAGAATACATCACTCAATAACAACAAATGTACATTGTTTTCAAGTGCACGGCTATCAGCTGCATAAGATAAACTATATGCTAAGCCATAAAACAAGTGTTGATAAATATAAGAGGATTAACATCATACAAAGTGATATGAAAATTATACCTCAGTTGTTTTGTTTTAAAAAATCATACAATGTTCTCTGAGCACAATGAATTAAACTGGAAATTAATAACAAATATATGAAAAAATCCCCCAAATATTTGAAAACTAAAAAAATAACCCATGATCAACTAAGAACTCAATGGAGATAACAGAAAGAATTTTTAACCAAATAAAGATGAAAAAACATCATATAAAAATCTATAAAATAGAGCTAAAACAGTACATAGAGGGAAATTTGTAGTACCAAAATACTTATTTTGTAAAGTCTCAAATCAATGATCTCCTGTTCTACCTTAAGAGCAAATGAAATCCAAAGCAGAAGAATAGAAAGTTTAAAAGATTTGAGCATAAAGAAATGAAATATATAACAGAAAAACAAAAGAGAAAAATCAGTGAAACTAAAAGTGGGTTCTTTGAGAAGATAGATAAAATTGACAAACCTCTAGCCAGACTGCAATAAGAAAACAGAGAGAAGACTCAAATTAGTATTATTAGCAGAAATAAGAGAAGTGACATCACTATAGTTTATAGATAGGTAAAAAGAATAATAGGGAAATATTAATGAACAATTTTATGCCAACAAATTTGACAACTTAAAATGGACAAATTCTTTGGAAGACACAAACTACTAAAGCTCACTCAAGAAGAAATAGATAACTTAAATAGCCATATAGCAATTAAAGAAATTAAATTTGTAGCTTAAAAGCTTCCCACAAAGAAAACTCAAGACCCATATGGCTTCAGTGGTGAACTCTATGAAACATTTAAGGAAGAAACAATACCAATTCCATACACACTCTTCCAGAAAAAGTGAAGAAGAGAGAATATTTCCCAACTATTTCTATGAGGCCAGCATTAATGATGCCAAAACTAAACAAAGACCATGTAAGAGAAAAAAACAAAACAAAACTATAGACCGCTATCCTTCATGAACATAGATGCAAAATTCTTAATAAAATTTTAGCAAATCAAATCCAATAATATGTAAAAAGGATAATACAACATGACCAAGTGGGTGGGTTTATATCAAGGAGGTAAGATGGATTCAACATTTGAAAATCTATCAATGTAATTTAACATATGTTATGGATTGAGTTGTGTCCCCCAGAAAGATATGTTGAAGTCCTAATCTGAGGTACCTGGGAATGTGACCTTATTTTGAAATAAATCTTTGTAGGTGTAATCAACTTTGGATGAGGTCATTAAGGTGGGCACTAATCCAACATGACTGGTGTCCTTATAAGAAGAGAAAAACTCCATGTGAAGACAGAGACACAGAGAAAACACCATGTTACAAAAGAGGTGGAGACTGGAATGATGCAGCTGCAAGCCAAGGAACACCAAGAATTGATGGCCGCCACCAGAAGCTAGGGAGAGGCAAGGAAGGCTTCCACTCAGAGTCTCAGAGGGATCATAGCCCTGCTGACACCTTGATTTCAGACTTCTGGTCTCCAGAACTGGAACAGAATAAATTTCTGTTCTTTTAAACCACCCAATTTGTAGTACTTTGTTATGGTAGCCCTAGAAAATTCATATACCATATTTTAAAAGAAAAACCATAGATCATTTCAATAGATACAGGAAAAGCATTTGACAACATACAACATCTATTTCTGATCAAAACTCTCAGCAAACTAGGAATTGAAAGAACTTCCTCAACTTAATAAATGGCATCTACAAAAAATCGACAGTAACGTTATACTGAATGGCAAAAAAACTAAATGCTTCCTCCTAAGATCAGAACAAAGCAAAAATATCCACTCTCACTCCTATTCAACATTGTACTGGATATTCTAGCCAGTACAATAAGGTAAGAAAAAGAAATTAAAGGCATCCAAATTGAAGAGGAAGAGGTAAAACTGTCTTTATTCATAGACAACATGATTGCCTATTTAGAAAATCCATGAAATCCATCGAAATGTCACTAGAACTAATAATGTATTTAGCAAGATTTCAGGATGTAAGACCAATATTTAAAAATAAATTGTATTTTTATACACTAGCAATGAAGATTGTAAATGGAAGTTTAAAAGCATCACTATTTATATTAGCTTGGAAAAATATGACATATGAAGGCTAAATCTGATAAAAGATATGCAAGACCCTTGCAGTGTAAACTCTAATATATTCTGAAAGAAATTAAAGACGACTTAAGTAAATGGAGAGTTATACTGTGTCATCATCAGAAGACTCAAAATGCTTAAGACATCAATTTTCTCCAAATTGATCAGCAGATTTGATGCAATCCCAATCAAGATTCCAGAAGGTTTTTGTGTAGATATTGACAAACTGATTCAATGCAAAGAAACTAGAAAGCCAAAACAACTGAGAAAAAGAGGGAAAAAGTTGAAGGACTTACACTACCCAATTTCAAGAATTACTATAATGTTACAGTAATCAAGACAATGTGGTGT